TAAGCGGTTCATAGGTCCCGCAAGGAAGAAAGCTGGTCAGCCCGGCTTGGGCACACACACATCGGCAGATTAACGAACCCAAAGACCCATATCCACAAACACACAAGGGATCTGGCAAAGGAGGGGCGATGCCTGCTCCTAGGTTTGGGTCTGTCAGTCCGCCAAGCCAGCGGTGGACGAGCCGGAGTAGCAACGCAGAGTGGGGCAAGGCACTCCCACGGGGCGCAGCCGAAGGGGAGGGCCATGAAGCGTTGAAGTGGGGAGCAGCGCCACGGCATTCCATGAAAGAGTAGTCGACACAGGCTGGCAAGAACTAGGACACGGAGGGCGAGACAGATTGCACAAAGCGCAATTCCAGCATGATGCAGGGCATCCGTCATGTCGTCCTTATCTGGTTGGTACCCCAGAGCCACCGATGTACCTATTAGGCACCAGAAAGGGGACGATCTGACGCCACAAAAGCCAGTAAACTGGCAAGTGCTGCAGCAACGCACGGCAACGTCAAAATCAGCAAAGCCCCCGGGTTGGTACCCCAGAGCCACCGATGTACCTATTTGGCACCCAGGGGCATGCGTATTCTGTAACGGTTCAAGCCCCAGCCATTCCTGCGTAAGACCTCCAACCACGTCAATGGGAGGTCTGCGGCTATGCACTGGAGGGGAAAACCACTTGGAATGGCAATCTTCAAGGCAAATCAGCGCCAATGTGGGCCCGAGCCGGAGTAAAAAGGGAGCAAAAGGCTGCAGCACGCCTGGGAACCCAGCAGATGGGCAAGTAGTTGGGTCCGAAGCATTGCGGCAGGGGAGGCCAACCCAACCTGGAATCCAAACAGGTGGGTGGTCCTCGCGACAAAAAAACAGCAGTCACAGCTAAGCCCACAAATACAGTGAACTTGCTGCAAGTGCCGCATCGACATAGCAGAGCCAATTGACCGGAGGAATCCCGTGACCCAAGAGGCAGGTGTGTCAGAGCATTGCGGCGGGGGAGGCCGGCCAAACAGGTGGGCGGTCCTCGCGAGGAAGAGACGGCAATCCCACAGCAAAACCCACGAAACAAGTGAGCTTGCTGCAGGCGCCGCTGCAAACCGGTGGAGGCAAGGAACTGTAGAACCCCTGTAGCCAAGGAGGTAAGCACACGGCAGAATCCAGAGCGTTGTGGCGGGGGAAGCCAGCCCAACCTGGAACCCAAACAGGTGAGCGGTCCTCGCGAGGAAGAAGCAGCAATCCCACAGCAAGACCCACAAAACCAGTGAGCCTGATGTAGGTGCTGCAGCGACATGACAGGGACGGGAGCCCAACTGAGAAAAACAATCCCTTTAACAGAAGCTACAAGAAACGAAAGAGCCACACCTTCCACAGTCAGACAGACACCGAGGTTCAAAGTCAGTCCGAAGGGCAACATAGTCCTTGGAGCTGCACCCAATCGCAGTTCCGAAGGCCAGGGGCCCGCCAGACTGTCAGAGAACCTGAGGTCAGCGACTGCGGTCAGGGGGCTCTTCCATCTGGGAAGCTTCACTTTTCCTCCGGGTCTCCGTCGTCGTCGTCGAGGACGGATGCTTGTTCCCTGACCGAGCGTCCTAGCGGAACTGTGGCAGTCGCGGTAGTCGACGCAATAGCCGTATCTGGTGCCCTGAAGGGGCGAAGTGCAATACCAACCTGTCCGGCCATCTCCTGTGCACGCCTGGCCTCCAGTTTGGCATGCAGGTCCGTCCCTGATAGAGGAGCCTTGGCCGGAGGATGTTTGGTGGCGTCCTTGACATTGTTTCGGGGTGCTTCTACCGTCGTAGGTACCCGCTGCTGAGAGGGATCTCTCTGTCCTGGGTGCTGTGGCTTCTTGCCAGCAGTGTCCACCGCCGCATCCACAAAAGGGTTCCCTGTAGTAGGAGAGTGCGGTGGAAAAGGAGCCGGGCGACTGCTCCTGGCCGCCGGTGACATAGCATTGTAAGACTTTCCCGGATCTGAGGGCCCAGAGGGGCATCCAAGGCAGGGTTCTCCAGCATTTGGAGGGTACCATAGCTCCTTGGACTCCGATGAGAGTGGCACGGCATGTAGTCCCGGAGGTAGGGCCGCACCAATCTGTCCCAGGTCCGTCCCTGGTGGTAGCGCTGCGAGGGTCGCCGCCAAGACCCGGGCAGCATCTGCAGGTTGCAAGAATCTGCCCTCTGGGTTGCTGAGTGCCGGTGCGGAGCCTAGAGGAGCTGAAGACACCTTTCGTGCGGCTGCCAGTGCATCGCCAAGGAAGTCTGTTGCAGGTCCAGGGCCATCCTCCGAAGCAAGCAACTCGTCCCAGGCATCTGGCCCCTCCATCGGTTGGTCCTTGGGCTTCGGCCCATGCGCCACCAGGTCCTGTACTTCCGCAGAAGCCTCGACGCCCTGTCGCGTTGCCGCCGCAATGTCCTCGTCGATCTTGAGGAGGTCCTGCTCGTAGCGGCGCCTCTGCTCCATGAAGTCCGCCCTGGACTTCCTGGCGAAAGCCAACCATTGGACCTCCTTCCTCTCCTTGTCCTCTTGCAGCCTTCGCACTCTGCCGTCGGCCCTTCTGGCAGTGGAGACAATCTTTTGGATCTCTCGCATGAGGTCCGCGTTCCCAGGTTCCCCACCAGACGGTCCCTTGGGAGGCTTCTCTGGTGGTACCGGCATCTGGTCGTATCTCGAAGTCGCCGCAGCCTTGGCCTTGGGAGATGCCGACGGCCGCGATCCAGACCACAAGTGCCATGGCCTTTCCGCGCCTTGGGCTCGTTGCCCATGTCCTTGCCATCCCTTGTCCCACTTGTCTCGTCTGCCCATGCGAGACTCACGGTACCTCGGTGCGCTGTGGTGCTGCTCCAGTAGCGAGATGTCTCGCTGCAGGGGCGGAAGGCCGAGGGCCCGATGGCGCAGGACTCTACGGCGGGCCCTCTGTCTGCCTCGACGCAGACTCGGTGCCAGGTGGGACTGTGCCCAACAACCGTGGCACCACCGACGTGGGAGTATACCCACTGGGGCTCCGGCAATGCGCGGGAAACAGGCCCTACGCTCGATCCAGAACCCTTATACATACATATATATATATATATCTTAAACACGTTTTGGCCTTTGCCGTAAACACGCCCCCTAATTTGGCGATTCCGGTTCATCATATATCTTGAACATGCCCCCCTCGGTTGAGCGATTCGAACTCATCATATATCTTACACACGCCCCCTCATTTGGCGATTCGGGTTCATCATATATTTTAACACACGCCAAATGATCTAGCGATTCGAATTCATCATATATGTTGAAACACGCCCCTTCATTTGGCGATTCCGGTTCGTCATATAACTTGAACATGCCCCTCGGCTGAGGGATTCGGACTCATCATATAGCTTAAACACGCCTCCTCATCTGGCGATTCGGGCTCATCATAAATCTTAGACACGCCCCATGATTTAGCGATTTGAGTTCATCATATATCGTAGCCACGCCCCCTCATTTGGCGATTCCGGTTCATCATACCAGATTCGCCATATATCTTGACCACACCCCGTCATTTGGAGATTCCGGTTCATCATGTATCTTGAACACGCCCCCTCATGTGACGATTCCGGTTCATCATCTATCTTGAACACGTCCCGTCATTTCGCGATTCGGGTTCTTCCCATATCTTAAACACGGCCTCTCATTTGGAGATTCGCGTTCATCATATCGGATTGACCGTATATCTTAAAACTCAAACAAACCCCCTCAATTCGCGATTCCGGATCATCATATCTTACACAAACACTCGTCATTTGGCGATTCCGGTTCGTCATATATCTTAAACATGCCCCCTTATTTCGCGGATCGGACTCATCCATCCTATATCTTAAGCACACCCCCTCATTTGGCGATGTGCTTGCTTGCGTGCTTGCTTGCTTGCTTGCTTGCTTGCTTACTTGCTTGCTTGCTTGCTTGCTTGCTTGCTTGCCTTGTTTGCTTGCTTTGCTTGCTTGCTTGCTTGCTTGCTTGCTCGCTGGCTCGCTCGCTTGCTTGCTTGCTTCCTTGCTTGCCTGCCTGCGTGCCTGCTTGCTTGCTTGGAAACCGCGCGACCGCAAAAAAAATACCAAAACAAACGGAAAAAATACCGAAAAAATAGCGCCACCACCCTTTGTGTCTGGATGTGACAGAACATGCTAAGCTGCTAAACATACGATCAAGTCGAGGCAGGTCCGAATACTTGGAAGGCTCATCGAAACACGTTTTTTGACACTCACGAAAGCCACAGATCATTACGATCTGGAAACCGATTCCTCGACTGGACATCCCGCAGGCTCGCCCTGCAGACTCTCGGTCGTACTCACAGAACATGCAGCAGGCATCCACATGAGAACAATCAGCACCTGCACGCAGAATGCTTCGTGAGGGCATCCTGTTGGGCTGTTGCTAGTGACGGCTCACGGCCGGCGCCCTTCTTGCAGGTTGTGTCGGAGTGGATCGCTGTGCGAAGCTTGCTGACCGACGTTTTCGTGCCCAGCCACGGAATGCCACGGAGGCAGGTGCTCTGTGGCGTCTCGGAGCCGTGCCACGCGCTTTGCGGGGCCATCTTCTGCAAACAGCTTGCGGGACTCGTTGACCCTTGTTGCTGTGCTTTGCTTGTTCTGGGCCCGGAGTGCTCCGGAGTTGGGATGCTAGAGAACCCTCGCTCGGTATCGCAGCGCCCCTGGTCCAAACTCCAAACGTCTCCAAACTCAACGAACAGGAAAGCCTACGTGAAGACCTGGAAGACCTCAGGAGCAAGGTGGACGGAAAGAAGGAGAACTACGCCGAGAAGGACACCTCATGGGAACTACTTCGCGGACAACCTCACCTGCAAGTTCAGAAGGAAAGGAAAAAGAAGAAAGGACAGGAGAAGACCCAGAAGAGGACATGAGCCAGTACGACGACAACAAGTTCTTCGAGAAGTTGCAGGAACAGGTCCACAAGCAGTTTTTGGGTGGCCTTCCATTAAACTTACTCTTGGAGTTTGGGTGGCTTTAGTCCTCGATACCCTCAGCGTCTCACCTGTGACGGTGCTCGCGAGCTCATCGAGAGCTCTGTCGTGGACGTCGTGGATGTTGGGGACGGAGAATTTGCCTGTCGCGCAGCTCATTCGCAATATTGCGCAGCGGTCGGCCATCGCCAACCTCAGTCGATGAGGTGGTCGAAAACCCGCGCCACACCACCTAGCCGCAACGCTATGCATGAGGTCTCCAAGAACACCACGGCACATCACGGCACGTGCCTCTGAGTCGTCTGTGGTGCCAGGCTGAAACGGAGGGATAACCTTGGAGTGACGGAGAGGGCTGGAAAGGCTTTGTCAAACCTTGCTGGAAAGCTTTCCGCAAACGAGTCACCGGGCGAGGGGACGTCCTGACAGAGACCGCTGTTGTCACTGACGTTGTCGTCACGTCGGCGGGCGAGCGCGTCGTACCTTCAGGGAGGTTCAACGTCGAGCCTTGTCTGCATGGCCACATCGCCATCATCATCATCATCATCATCATCCTCATCATCATCATTATCGTCATTATCATCACGACACGCCCCGCGCTCCACTGCAACGTGGCTATGCAAGTCAAGGTCGCCGCCGGCGTTGCTTGGCCATGTGTGCCATTTCTGAGAAAGTGTGACGGTTGTATTAAATTTTCGTGTCAGTTTGACATATCCGACATATTATCCCCAAAGCACAACACGGCCTGCTGGCTCAATCGCATCTTCCGGAGATCGGCGGACCCAACGACCAAAAAAAGCTACACGAGATCCCAGAAGCATAAAGCCAGAAGCATAGTTTGTCTCTGGCAAATCAAGGACTGGTCGTGTCAACTCGGTGGCTTACGTGTCATTCGTTACCCCGTGCTTGCGTGTTAGCCATCCAGATCTGGTGCACCGGGTTTGTTCTGACTTCCATCGACGCCATCGCAAACTGACACCTGTCAGTTCTCGCCACGCCACAACAGCACCGTTGTGTGCAAAACCAGCAACCGCGGCGTTTTTGCATTGAAAACGCAGCCTAGATTGATTTGAGGCTACATGTCAAAACACCCAACTTGACCGGGCCTACCCAGCGAGTCAGGAACAAGCCTATGTTCAGCATTTTAGCACGTGGCTACTTACGCCTTGCGGCATCGGGGGGCCTGCACTCGTGTTGCTTGGCACTGCTGCTGGCACCTGAGCAGGTGCGCAATCTCGGAATGGAACTAACCGTGATGCAGAAGGCCTCAGCAACCACGTAGCTCAGGAGGATGGGCACCTCAAGTCGGGAAAGGAAAACAAACAAGCTGCGGCTTTCCCGCTGGGACAAGCCAGGCTCAGGATCTGTCAGACAGGTTTGCCAGCATGCCGATCGCAAGGACAGCCGCCTCGATCAAAGTTGCTTACCTTACATCACCTTACAATGTACCGTCTGCTTATAAGACCAGCTGTTGAGCTGCTGCCGATGCATCACTGTGTTTCGCGACCCCTCAAACAGTGTCACTTTACCCGCCAGCACTTGCCTTACAATTTTTGGAACAATATTTTCTGCAGGGCACGCAACCTCACATTGAGACCTGCTTCGGATCCCGTCCGCTGACTGCAGGCACGCACCATCATGGCAGAAGCTTGACCACTATGCCCCAGCAGCAACAGGACCTCATGCGAAGGATCGGACTCTTCTCCGAGGTGTGAGCTTCGAGCATGTGATTTGAGTGCTGAAGGATCACTTCCCTGGTAACAAGCGATAGTCTGCTCCGATTCGTTTTCAGTCATGCGCTTTGCTTCGGCGCTCCCTATCTCCAACTCGGTCCCTCTAGAAGCAGTGAAAAAATGCCGGGCTTAGAACCGCAAGTGCCCAATGCGGACCATCACGTTTTTAGTCTTATGTCTCTTACGTTATGAAACGGTTCTATTGTCAGCTCTTTCCGTGGGCCCTTTTTCTTCTTCTGTCCGTCTCCCTCCCTCCCTCCCTCCTTCCTTTCCTTTCTTTCGCCAGGGCTATGGGATCCGGTCAACCGACCAAAACCATAGATATAAAGACCAGAGAGGGTCTACCCGTGTAGTTGGTGCATGGTCGACTGCGGGGTGTTCTCCGGCCGGTCGAATGCAAGACGCTAGGAGAAAACACTTGCACCTCTACGGTTTCCTATTTATGAAGGTGACAGGCGAAAGCATGAACCTTCGGAGTCGTGCTGCAAGGCCAACGGCAAAAGTAATGGGGCTTACGTGCGCATGGCATCCCCGTTCAAAAAACAGGGAGGAGGCTCCGCTCCGATGCAAAATGCTGATCGAAAGCAGGGCGTGGTAAAATCGGATTGGAATGGCTCGAGCAGCCCAATACAAATTAAGTGCCGAGAGGGACAACCTATGGTACAGCAAAGACGCAAGGACTCGAAGGCAGTTAGTCGACGTTCATCGATTTATTGCGCGTCGCTCCTCCAATGTTAGCACCCGTCGGAGCTGGGCGGCCGATCCCTTTCACCTCAGCCGTGACGATGTCATCAAACATGTCGAACGTTGTCCTGGATCACGCCAAGGTCGTCGGAGTTGTGCTCGTTCTGGGGTCTTTCCCCGTCAACTGCTGCATCCTCTCCGGCGGGAAGCTTGGCTGGTTGAGGTGCTGGCTCAAAGCCGGCGGGCCATTCTCTCTCATGAAGGCAGGGTTGAACACGAGGCACCCCCAAAATTGGCCCTCGGAGGAGAGAAGTACAGAAGACTCCAGCGGCCCGTCTTTGAAGAGATTGTAACTTTTGCGAAAGTTGTGGCGGTTGAAGGTGCAAAGGATATATCATCGAAACAACTCATCTGTCATATGAAGTTTGACATACATCAGGCTTGAAAACGAGCACTCGTGGCTTGATCCAAAATGCCTAGGAGAGGCTACTCCCTCTTCTCCAGGGCTTCAGGGACTAGCCATATTGTTGCTTGTGATTTGAGGAACGTGAAAGTATGCAGCGTTTTCTCAATCGTCCCACATAAGCTTAGGGTGTTGCACGCGTCGTCGTTGTAGTAGTAGTACTAGAGTAGGAGTAGGAGTAGGAGTTTGAGAAGGAGTAGGAGGTAGAGCAGCAGCAGCAGCAGCAGCATAGCAGTAGTAGTAGTAGTAGTAGTAGTAGTAGTAGGCGCCGTACAGGTCGATTGCCCTCGGGTCACTTTGGTTGGAGCCCCTCCCTCTCTCACGGGCTCGGGGCCCGAGCACTCGCGGCTTGAGCCAAAATCTCTCTCTCTCTCTCTCTCTCCCCCGGGCATGAGGGTCGGTCAAGACCCCCGGGCCACAGGCCCACCCGCATTGTTTTAATGCAGGATAGGGGTGTGAAGAGCGAGCATAGGACTCCCATGATTTTACACTCTAGGCTCTCTCTCTCTCTCTCTCTCTTTCGGCAATAGGTCTCGAGCCG